TAATGTAGGGATTCTAATAGTGAAAAAAAAGTTCAAATTTGTTCAGTAGTTGCGAAGCCTATTCAATGTAAAAACAAACAATCATATCTTTCCTCTTTATAATATTTATATTCACTTTTCCTGCAACTTAGCCTGGGTAAATTATCGCGTATATCACCCGCGTATGGTGTAGGTGAAAGATTTTTTAATAATGGATAATTTATGGAACACGATAGCAGTCTAAAAAAATAACAGTAACAATTAAAATATATAAGGAATCGTAAATAGTTGCAAAGTATTATTAATAAACTTTGTTTTTTAAAGAAAGATGAAAATACCCAAACAACGATAATGGTAACCGATAGTGGACGAGAAATAAAGTTTTTATTGGTGTGCTATATATCATGTCAGTAATTTGATAGAGAAAAATCTTATTAGTATTCCCAGGGGTGTCGAACGAGGTGTGACGTGCGTGAAATCGATTGGAACTGATTTATTATTCTACGCATTCAGACGTCACAATATATTAAGGATGTACTCCTAACGTTTCAGGGAGGATTTATATATTCTCATATATTATTAACTAAGGTACTATATTGGGCACATTACATTTTGTATTCCAATATATAGCATAATTAACCGTATATAAAACTACTTTTAAACGATTTAAACGCGCGTACTTTTGACTTAATATTTTAGACATCCCTTGTTTACTTAGAGAAAGATGTTGATCGTCTTTTTATAATTAAAAGCATTCACCTTCAACCTTCAACCAAATAATACTTATTGGACAAATTTCCCACATCCTCCCAATTGTAAAGCGGGAAAAAACATTTTTGTTTGGCAAGTCTACATTCCATATGTTGTCTGAAACTTAAGATTATTTTACAGATCCTGTTATTATTCAATATCCCATGTAAAAGGTTACGAATCAATATCTATTTCGAGCTTTAATATGACGCTTAATTTGTTAATGGCAAATAGTGATAACGCAGACTGGATTTCTATTATCTTAATCGCTTTTATATGCTTCTATTTTTACTAATATAATTTGTGGCTGATTAGGACGTGTGACTTCGATAAGTCACAGTGTGAATTTAATAAATTTGATATATTACTTTCCACCTAGCGAGTTAATCGAGGCTACATCCATTGTGAGCTGCGATTTCCAATTTACTGTAATAACTGTTTCATTACTACTAGCTTGCAACGCAAAATTGGAACGTTAATTAGTCATGGTTGTTTACTGAATCACTTTAAAGCATTGTGGATAAAAAGGTCGCATTTCATGTAATCGTTTTTGTTAGTTGTAATGAGTGTAATAATCCAGATGGCCAAGTATTTTCAAAATTAAAAATGGCATTTTAGTTTCTCATATTTACATAAATATTACTTCTTAAACAGGTCAACTTCTGTTTTACGTACCAACGAATACATTTTGTATAATTAATTTTAAAATTGTAGATCGTAATTTTTTATGAGAAGTTTTAATTATCAAATAAATTTTATAGATTCATTTAGATAATTAAAGGTGTCTAGTTATTTGCAGTAAACTAAATGAAATATATGTTTTTTAATTACTTAAGTTTGTTTGGGAAACAATAAACTAATCATTCAATATCCTCTTATTACATCCTGCGTGCAAAACACACATACGTATGCGGCGTATATAGGTGTTGCAATGTTCGGGGCCCATCGGCGCTGCACTTCGCTGCAGTTGCATAAAACTATTGCGACACTCGCAACGCGGTCACTGCCGCTGCGGGCGCGTAGTTAAGGGCATGCCCGCCGCACCCTTCGCCACTCCAATAACAACCTGTGGCTAGTGATGTGATTATGACTACTCACTAAATGACCAAGTGAATTGTACAATGTGGCTGTGCGATTTCGACTTTGGCCCCAAATTTTCACTATCACAAAATGTTCTGTGCAATTTCAACATTGACCTCATATTTTCACTTTCACAATATTTTAAATGTTTCTGCTCTAAATGCAATTTCTTTTCTTTTTATTTTTTTAGAACAGGAGAATGATTTTGACTTTGCTTTTATTCACTCGATAACATTTTTTCAATCATTAATTTGTATGTACTTAACCAGCGCATCCGGTGGAAACGCACTTATTATGATTTTTCAATAGTTAAATGTCGTCCACTAAATTACTCAATTAGGAAGTTGGAAAATCGCACTCGTCATACTAATAATAATAGAAGCCAAAAACTAATAAGTTTCAAGCTACGATTTTACGAGCAAACGTTCCGATGGCCATTGCGCGATTTATTAGACACCTGTTGCGCCGTCGCACGTTGAATTACCGTGTGATGGTTTCTCTATTATATTTATATTTCATCATTTGCTCGTATGATCTTTAGCGAATTAGGGCGCCTCCTTATTGTATTTCATGTTTCGGAATAATGTTATAATATCACAAATTATCGAGCGATGATTATGTCTGTTTGATTATGGAAATTCTACTGGTACAACACTATCTTGAACATTTACATGTACCGTCTCTTCTATACAATGGCGAACGTACCGATAGCACGTTAAATATTCTTAATTATCCTCTAATAAGGTCAGTTGTGTTGAGTTTTCAACTCATGCGTGACGGTATTGTGTTTTGATCGACGCTGTTCAGGGTTTCGACTGGGGAAGTCACTTTTCTACTTACCACGTGTAGCTTTTAATCAGAAGTTGTATTTGCAGCTTTAAAACCTTGCAATTTTAGTACCTAAGTTACGGTATTGAATAATGTAATATACGAAATAGGTACCTGCTTGTTCAACTTCAATAAACATACGTTTAAACACTGCAAACGGTATTGATAACTTAAAACATTTTGCATGAAAAATACAACGTACGTTGTACAAATTTGGAGGCTACTGTGAGAAAAAGTTATTTAATCGAACCAAATCCTTTTAAATTCATCGCTGATAAATGAAGATACCCAATTTTTACAACTGAATTGAATTGGATGTATGAAATTGTAAAAACAATTTATTTATAAATAAGCAACATTGCATGTAATTTGTTGGTCACCAAGGGAGCCGATTTATTAATCGTTTTGCTCTTTACAAACTGTACGGTGTTAATTGTAGGGTACTTTCATCATTTTGATTATTATATAAAATTTATTACCTCCAAATCTTATTTGGCTGAGTAAGAATGCATATTTGCGAGGCTGCCTTATTATTATAAAGTAGTTGATCATATAGGCTGAAAATATGTAATATAAGTAAGAATCTATATCCTGACATAGTGGACTAGAAACAACGCACATCCTAAACCGCTGTTTTTAGAGATTTGAAATTGGGAGGGTACCTACCTATATTTATCTCATTACGTAGGGAGGGATGCACTAACAATGGGTTTTTGGAAATTCTACCTCGAAAAGAGTTACATCGGATGAAACCGTTTGTGTAAAAAAAGGTGTAAAAGTACTCCGATTTTGAAGTTACAGCGAGGAAAATGTTTATTTGTATAAGTAAGTTTCAAATAAAAATTACGTATTTCAATTTTGTAAAATGATCAAGTCATTTAGAGGTATACAAATGAAAAAATCTTTGTTCAATGAAATAAATTTTTGCTTTGCTTCATTTGCTTGTCCTTCTTTCATGTGGATACGGAGCGTTGTTATAATATAATTGTTTAGTATAGAAATAGATAGATGGCAGGAGGGAGTGTGATCTTTGTCGTATATAAGCGATTATTCACAGCAAAAAAACTTTTAATTTTTCTCTTTGTCTGCACAGCTGATACCGAGAGTAACAACTAGTGATTTTTTATAATGTAAGCTTGTACCGAAAACCCACGTATTTGAAAATTATAGTGCCTAAAAAAAAACATTAAAAATATACGTATGTTTCAATTGCAGTTCTGCGACTGCTGACTAACCAATACGATGATAGCACTGTACTGTACCTATTGGTAAAATGTATTTATATGTTTTTTACCAATAAAACTCTGGAAACAGTGGGCCTTTTTATGCAGGCTTATATCATATATAATTATGGAGTCCATTATGCACAACTAAAATGAAATACCTACTTAGAGTATTTTTTTAAATATTGCACGTACGTAGGATGTGACCTCAATTATACTAATATTAACATAACTATGGATTGACAGTGGCGTTTCAATAATATTATCTTTGCTAGTTCTTTATTTGTTACTAGAATACTAAAAAAATAGGCACAAAAACCCTATTTTTAGTATTTGTTACTAGAATACTAAAAATAGGGTTCTTGTGCCTATTTTTTTAGTATTCTAGTAACAAATAAAGAACTAGCAAAGATAATATTATTGAAACGCCAATGTCAATCCATAGTCCACAACAAATAACTAGCAAAAAGTTATATTTTTTTACAAATAAATTAAACATAGATATGTTTTTGTTACTGCTTTATATTGGTCACTTATGATTTACGAAGATGACAATGAGATGCCATAATCTTGTCGATGTTAATAAATTCATGTACCAGGGGACAGCTCTGAAGGATTTTGTTGTCATTTTCATTGTCATGCATATAAGAATTTAGAACTAATATGTTTTTATACTGTGTTTTTATGAAGGGCGTAATGGCATTATAGTTATTTACGATACTCCATAATACTAGTGCTTTAGTTTCTTATCTTCGAATCCGAACAATTTATGTTACCACCACATTACTAGGCTATTAATTTTCCTGCTACTGAGGTACAGGCCTACTCAATGGATGGGAGCGAATCGAATGAAAGAGAGATGACCTACCACGCCACCGCTGGCCCAGTCCTGATTGGCGAGTGTAACCACTGCAGATGCAGCCTGGACCTTAAAGTGTCTTCCGAAACGTCTCTACGTTTGAGACCTCATCTGAGCACGAGATAGTACTTTTTTGGTCAACCATAATACCCCTGCGAATGTTGCTTAACTTCCGCGTCGTAAATCGAACTGGCTAATCACTGCGACACAGAGCTCCTCAATGTTGACAATGTATATGAAATTGCCTAATTATTATTTAATAATTAACCTTTTATTCACAGAGAGTGACCACATGTGGGCCCGCGTGCGGGACAGGCGTATACACGACTAGTGCGACACGTCGGCTCGCCTCCAGCCTACAGAGCACAAGCACCGGCTCCTTGCCCGACTACGGCACACAAATCGTCGACCCTTACCGTTTGCTTGAAGACGACCTCAACGGCATATATGAGGATATAAGAACGGTAAGATAACAATCACATACACACTTAAAGAATTCGTGTAGACCAATATAACTCACATATTATCAGTTGAATGAATTAATTAATGAATAAATACTATTGTTGTACACTTTAATTAAATAATAGGATAATCGATACAATTTAGTGATAAAATCGGCGGCCTTATCGATAAAAAGCAATTTCTTCCAGGCAGCTGGTTAGATTGGGCTATTACTTAAGTAGGGCAGTAGCTGGTGTCTTACATTCCGAGAAAAAATGTTTATACATATATAGAAATATACATACATGCATAAAATATACAAAAAATATATATCAGTACCTAAATAAAGTATACATATAAAACAGAAATAGGATGAAAATGATAGCATATTATACATGAAGTTATACATAATACTTTTTTATTTTTTCAAAGCAGTTAAATGATAGAGCGCGCATTATTTCTTCCGGCAATGCAAATATCAAGGAATTTTGTGGAGTGTATCGGCATCTGCAATTTTAAGTTCTCTGATGATCTCATAGCGCGAGAGTGCGAATCGCGAAGGAACTTGAAGCGTTCCTTAAGATTAGTCAAAGAGAAAGGATTGAACAGAATACTGTAGAGCAGGGAAACAATATGCGCATTCCTAAGAAGACGAATTGGCAACCACTTAACACTAAAATAACTGAACTTAAATAAAAATATTTTTTAATAGAAATACTAAGTACGGCTGTGACTTTTTGCTTGACTTGGTGAAACAAACTTACAAAAAATAATCTCTCTTAAGAATCCGTTAATGTAGTGACTAGTTTTTTTTGGCCTCATTCCTATTTTTCAATATGTCAAAATTGTCAAACAATAGATCTATTAATATACTGATACAGAAGACTTATCAATTGCGTGCAGTGCGTGCGATGCGTGCTTGTGCGTACGAAGTGTACGTTCACTCTTAGGAGCCAAAGATACAGGAAAACAAAGGCCACAGGAAATAGGTGACCTGTTCGCGTTACCACGCTAAATTCACGGAACAGTTTCCTGTTTACGGTCAGTGCACTAAGTATTTCACTTAATTATATTATAATTAATTTTTTACTTCCATGACATTTTAATACCGAATAATAACACGTTTTTTACAAAAACTAAAATCAAATATAATAGAGCGTACTCTTTACGAGTTTTAATGATTCCTGCAATAACTCTATTGCTTTTTATATGTAATTGTAGTCATATGAAGACAAATCAGTTTTCTCTGAAAACAAATACACATGTTTATGAATATGTTAGGTAAATAAAAATAATATGAAGGTAATATGTTTTGAAGTGTAAATTGTACTTATTATTCACTCGGCAAGTATATATTTGTTAGGTAAGGTAAGGTTTGTTTAGTATAGGTAGTGGTATCTTATATAATTTAATGTTATAAAGAGTATGCCCTGCGATTCTGTAAAAATTAAAACCCGAATTCGAATTCACTCAGGTGTCCGAATTCACTTCAAAAAGCGGCATCCGCTCAATTTGAATTGGTAATAACGTTTCGTGGCATAAGTGAAGTGAGTTTCGAAATGATATAGTAATAGAATATCTGAGACACGAATAAATCAATCAATATTGTTTTGTATTTTTATAAAAAAAAATGCACTCAATAGAATTTCTACACTAAATGACATGAATTTGGACACATGAGGGAATTCGAATTCAGGTCTGGATCTTACAGAGTAGCAGGCCTGATTTCTGGCAGTAGCAGGCTCTGAAACTACTGGACCCATACGCGTCAAAATATTGGTAACTGTAGCACCTGTGTTATGGAAATCTGTGACTTAATTGTTTAATTTTAAAATCTACTTACTTTTTAACATAAAGATAAAAACATAAAGATCTCAACCACTGTCACGTGTCAAATAGTTGTATATCTTTCAAAAATCAAAAAGGGATTACGATCGATTAGACAATTACGCTTCTGAAACTTAGAACCTTATTTTCTACGTTCACCTTGGCTAAAATCTAAACTAACTGGCGGACGTCTGAGTAAAATAAAATTAGCATGATGAAGATATCTTATACCTTGTGTGTTTATAAGTTTTGAGAAGAAATAAAAGTTGAGTAACTTTTTTAATAATTAACTTATATCTCTATAAGTTTCAGTAACCATTAAATAGATAATAATCAACAATAAAATATATATTTTATTAAAAATGACCGTCCTTGATTTTAATACAGGCCCTTAGACGATTTGGCCAGTCACCAATGGAGGCACGAATCTTTTCTAGCGGAATTCGCTTTACTTCTCGGACAAGGGTTCGCTTTAATTACTCCAAGTTTGGGTGGGACTTTCGGCAGGCCCTGAGTTCTAATTCAGTCCATAAACAATAATCCAGGGGGTTGAGGAGGAGTGGCCCTCCTCCAGCTCTGACCTCAACCCGCTCAACCAAACTCTGAGCTTACAGAAAAACATTTCAGCTCGCGGAAAATCTGTATCGGTTTTTTTCCCGCCTAAAATAGCGAAATGATAGTTGCACGTAATTGTTTCGTTCCCTCCATCACGAGAAAAATAGAAATCAAATGAAATTGCGACACAAGTAAATTAAAAGTTAACATTCCAAATTCAAAATCGGTACAAAAATAAATAACAGCCAGTAACATTTTATTTTAATTTTTCAGTAAAAAGTTTGTCTCAATACTTATGAACACACGAGGTATTATATGGTTAATACGAATTATAAAACAAACATACCGTTTTTATAATTATTGAAATTCTCACGATGATTGAACCCGTGACCGAGTAACCTTTTGCCTGCGACGTTCAAGGTCTGTAGTGTGAATTCTATACTATGGTAGCGAATTTAATGCGTTATTATTATAAGTTATTAATCAGCGGTTGTCTACAGTTTCGTTTGATCTCTGTGATATTTGATACATGTAGGACGAGGTTCGTATAAAATAGAAAAAAAAATAAGTTAATAACCACACATTTTAACATATTATAATTTTATTCACATAATAATTAGTTGTAATAATACTAAGTGAAAGATGTGTCACAACATAAAACTTTACTACAAGGATCACAAAAAAGTTTTTATAGAGTGGTGCCAATATTTATATCTCACGCTCGTGCTGTCTATAGAACGACTAGCGTATTTCGTGAATAGGTCATTGTCCGTGATTTGTTTGAGTAATATTTTTTTACAACCCTTATGCATTATTCAATATTTGATGCACAAATCAACACTAAACAATTTTTTTTAAATGACATTAAACTGGTAATTATTAGACAACATAACATTATTTTTTAAATGGGCAAGTGTTATAGAAATCTTACATAATTAAGGTACTAGAACATCCAGGTCCAAGGTAACTTCAGCAACTTCAGAGATGGTGACACCTTGATACCGGCCGGAGTGTGAGCCACTCGACTGCAGAGGTCGTTAATAAAAAACTCATTGTATGTCCCTTATACAATGAGTTCTCCATGAAAACTCATTGTATGTCCGTTATACAATGAGTTCTTCATGAAAAATCATTAATGGACATACATTGTACATACGAGTAATTGAAAACGAATTTCTATTATGAAAATAAATTGTTAATATGATTGTAATTTGTATGTCGGCGTGTCCGTCCGCCAGTAAAGTGTGTCAAAGTCATGAGGCGCAGGCGCAGCACGCGGGTAGCGTTACACAACGCCAACATCTACAACTATTGTGATTTACTTGATGCAGTTACAAATAAATCATTTGAAATATAATGCTATTTATATAATACTTCTATTTATGTGCATCTGACTGTCGCCATATTTTCATAGGTTATCCGTTGATCTTAAATTCCGATAGTTTTAAATTAATGTAAAAATAAGTATTCTAAACTAGACATCGAATTTTATGAGGATACTAGGTTTGCTGAAAAGGTGAAACGTTTTGAGGTGTTGTTCATTTATATCCAACTGGAAATTCAGGTCACCTTTACATTTTTAAGTCATAATAAAACAATAAGTAGAAACCTGTGTGAAAAACCTTTTGACAGGATATTCTATAAAGACTTAACAAAATATCATTTAAATTTTTCGCGTGGCTCACAGTCGGCCTCCGGGGTCACTATATCTGAGATTTCAGATGGATAGTCGTGTCAATTACGTTTTGTGGGTATTGTTGTATCTATTATGTTTTGAATTCCACTAAGATAAGCTAATAGTACGGCACGAATATCAGATGCAAATTCAATATAAATATACCAAATAATAAATATTACACAACATCATATGAGTAACACAATACTCAGACCCGAGACAATATACAAGATGTAATTTTTTACATTGACCCGACCGGGAATAGAACCCGGTTATACTATGATAGAACCCGACATTTCAGAGATGCCGATGCAGATACTTTGACCCCGGCATGTGAACCGCTCGGTAAAATAGAATAGAATATTAAAGATATTAAATTATCAACTACTCGATGCCTATTTAGTCTGTATTTTGAAGCTTTACAAACAAAAAAACAAATATGAATTTGTACATGTGACGAAGGGTTTAACAAGTTAGCAGTCGTCTCACCGATGGCAGCCTTTCGTTCGCCTACTTTCCGTTTGGAAAACTCGTCTGGAACTAGGCCCCTACATGAATGTTGCTTGCGTATTTCTACACGCTCGTTTCCTAAACGAATACATCTAATTCGTTGCTCAGATAAAAATATTTACTTTACGACTTTTGGGCAGTGTGCTTTATTATAATTATATAATAGAAATTATGTAGTAATGGAGAAAATTATTTTCTAACGTCAAATATAAGTGAATTTACATATTTTGTATATTTTTAAATGAAGAAATTCTTTGTTCTCTTGCAATGTGTCACTTATTTTTATTCATTAAAATTTTCGTAATTCTGTTAAGTACCTATATGTCACATTGCTATTTACAGCGATGTAATTATACTGTAATTTCTTATACGTTATTATTAAAATTCTTTGTTAAGCGTTTGATATCTCATTAAAATAGCTTATCTTAATTTTATTATATGATTTATTTGCTAAATACATATTAATTAAAAATAATATTCGCTGTATGAGTTACAGATTATATCAAAACTGAGACTTATTATAAAAACAATACATCAATACTAAGTAGATTGATTTTATTAGTTTTCGGCACTTTTCATTGTAGAACCTTCATTTTCAATTTGCATACTATTGATGAATATTAAATCATCGCATCTAGCTTAAAAAATGTCGTAACATGACATTGGCGTGCAGTTTCTAATAAAAAAGAACATTCGACGGCAATAACAAATGAAATAAACGTAACCGTTAGATAAGGGCTATACCACGAATAAACCATTAGTGTCAAAATGTTCGTTTCCAAAGATTTGATTGCAGACAGTGCCATAAGCGCTATGTTTAATATAGAAACATTAATATCATATAATTGTTTGTTTATATTTTTGGTAACTTCAACGCACATGAAAATAACTTTAAAGTTTTTCTATATTTTTTAAGCGTAGCTATTCTTATAATTTCAAATTTCACAGTTTTACACTAAGATTGAGACATGTCAATTTTCAAAAATACTCTTATCTTTCGTAGTAGTTGCAATTTGCAATATTTTGCATCACGTTCATCCCATTGTGTTGTTAGTGACGCCACTTATGCAAATGATTTATCCGGCCACCGTATAAAATTAGTTTAAAACGCACTTAATGTGCATTTGTGTATTTTTCGCAACGTAATGTCGAGATTCACATTGTCCGCCATTGCGAGAGGGCTTGCGTCAAGTAAATGCACATACGACACAATGCATGATGCAAGAAGAAAACGGTTTTAACGGCCTAAAACACTAATGAATCATCAATAGATAGATATTGCATGCCAAACACCCTTTTCGCTGTTTCGTAGCAAGTTCTACGATTCCGTAGCGTTCTTCGTAATCTACGCATGAATTATATGAGCTACGATATTGTTATACTCTCGTAGCATGTAATATGATAAAATAACTTATCAATGGAGTTTCCGTAATGATGATGTAAAACATAATAGGGATATATAATAGAGTGCTGATGTCTGTTGACATTGTTATTCATTTAACACGACTCATTACCGCTGAAGTGTTTACCCTGTATGCAATTACCTTGTGTTTGGTTATTTCAATTTTAAATTATTAGTATTATTTATTGAATCATCATACTTTAAATATAATTTGGACTACTAAGTTGTTATTAATTGTTGTAAAATATAATCATTATCGATTTCAGATAATCATTTAGATGAATGCTGACATATGAAATTACATTAAAAATCAAATTTTAAGTATGTTTAACGAGATTTTTCCAACTTGCTATTTTGAATTTTTTTAATCGCATATATGATTAAGATTTTTTTTGAGAAAGGTATATTTTATATGGTTTTATAAGTTCGAAATATTCTGATACCGTTGAATTTAGATTTGATTCCAACTCGACTGTAGTCGTTTTGATCCTCAGGAGCTGGAGAAGAACACCAATCAGTCGGAACTTAACACCATAGCCACATACTATTTTGATGGACAGGGCAAGGCGCTCAGGCCCATGGTTGCCATACTCATGGCGAGAGCTGTCAACTACCACGTATATGGCGAAAACAGGTGAGTTCTGCATCATATCCTGTACTAACGGCCGGTTATTGAATTGAGAAAAGTACAAGATTTCAACTGATTATTCTCAATAATTTAAGTTCTTTACATTGCAAGTGGCAACAAGTCCTAGTATTACCAAACTGCTTTCAATAGATCATTGAAAAAATTTAAATCGTGAAGAAAACCTCTTTAAATGACGTTAAACATCAAGTGGTTTAAGTACAATTTAAGATGTGCTTAACTTTATATTCTCATTTCAGTAACCAATCATATATCTAGCACTTACAAGAATTATGCAAGTAAATCATCAAAGGTTATATAATTAATTTAAAGATGTTTACATTTTTGTTTAATGCACTCTAAAGAGAAAAGGTGTTGTTGCGACTAATGTCTTTTATTTAAATGTAAAGACTATTTAAGTGAATTTTAAATTATCATACTTTAAGCAGTATGATGTCTTCCGTTATGTTTTTATAAAAGCGATTTATTTGTTGTTCTTTATGCAGGGCTATTCAAATAATACTGGTTGTAACTCACAAACCCCCTATTGATTAAAATAGCTATGCTGTCATTCAGTGGCTGATCGGTAGTAAAGGCCGATATATTGCATTATGTATAGCATTGCTCAATCAATAATTTGTATATTACAAGACTCTTTGTATTGACATACGTAGCTGACTTAAAGGCAACCATAAGTATCGGAAAGATCTCTATGGCAATGCACAGCCTATACCGTTAGCGTTAAATGGGTGAAATCGTTTATATAAAAGTTTTTTGTTTTTGAGCATATACATTGATTAAAATTGGTACCGAGTAGTACAAAATAAAAATTACGGTTTTCAATTAGAATTTTTGAAAAATATTACTTGTTCTTTTTTAATCCTGGTTTGTCTTGAATTTATTATTTGTGATTTATTCGGAAGATGATTTGCATTTCTTATGAATCTGCGGCTGTGTAAATGTTGACATCATTCTACTACAGCCGAATTGCATGACATGACATTGGTCGTCAGTAACAAAACTATATACATATTTTTATGCAAATTGTTTTTGATAAGTTCCTACTTGTCATATGCATTATTTATCACTTTTTTAAAGTTTAAAGTCGGTTTGATTTTTGAATAAAATAAAATTGATTTCGTTGATGCTATCAAAATAGAGTTCAATATGTTTTATGCTGATCTGATTACGTAATATACCTATCGTTTTCGTTTCTACATGCTCCATTTAATTTTGTTGGCGAATTTTTGTAGTCTTAATTTAATAACAATGTATTTAATATTAAATACTGAAAATGTCTAGTCCGCTATCACCACGGTTAGTATTTACCGAAACAAGGTTAAATGATAAGACCTTATACTGATAAGTAAAGATAGATACTGATACACCAATTGTTTTTTCTACACAGACAAAACGATGTTAAAACCTATCACTTAAGTTAACAGATCATAATTGTAACTTACCCTTATTAACGTTTGTATGAGATAATATGGTATTTATCGTATTTTCCTCAATATGTAAATTTTTAGAATATTCTGTGAAACCTCTTTGAACTAAATCGGTATGTAACAGTCGTTTTTATTTCAATAAATGAATAGTAAAAACGTTAATTGAACATTACGTTCACGCGTTCCTGTGATGCCGCTTACTGCTCTTTACATGTGAAGAATATTTAAATGATATACGATAAATGCTGTAAGATATGACGAGTGCGTCTAGAATAATTTATAAATGAATAAAATAGCCGTGCGCATACTAAAATAGGCCTTGAACGCTTGAGAATTTAGTGCAGGCCCTTATAATTCTTAATGAGGGTGTTTTTGCTGACTTTAAAAGTATATATTACAGATACAATTAGTTCAATAGCATTTGCATTATATAATAATATCAATACTAATGCCATAAAATATGTAGACAGTACCTATGGGTCTCTTGCGTACTATTGACACGGTTTCCTTGAGTAGTCTTAAAATATTCAATAGAATTCCACATAAAACGTATAAATATTCCTTTGTACAGATGACATTATTAAAATGACAAAATTGTATTACAACATTAACATAACTAAATGTTAAAAGCACAAAGAATTAAATTAATAAATTAAATATCTATATTAATCGGTGAATTGTGATCGTAGAAAGTAAATGGGCTAATACGTTGGAAGCCTAATTTTATTACAAATAATAAAATATTTATTTTTTAAAACAAATTTTAATACACAAAATGTGTTTCTGGTATTTCGTTGTTCCCTGTAATATCAGTTGATACATCATACAGAGTGAAATACTTAAGAACACAATTATTTTCAAGATAATTAGTGCAAAATTACTCTAAATTAACGTCAAAAAATTGTTGTATAAAATCTAGAGGACATTATAATATCCTCATACGGAAAGCAATTTTTCTGACAATATCAACATAGTAATTAATTTATGCAATTAGGTTTTATTTTACATGTAAAAAAACTTTCATAATTAATAGTGTTTTAATTTGAAAACATATTATGACTTCGAGTTTACAGTTGAAATGAATTCCTTTTTTTATGATTTTCAGAATAATTAGTGCTAAATTACTCATATTAACGAATATAAAATTGTTGTATAAAATCTAGAGGACATTATAATATCCTCATACGTTAATCCAATTTTCTGATAATATCAACAAAGCAACTAATGTATGCAATTATATTTTATTAAATGTAAAAAAATCTTAAAATTATGAGTAATTTATTTTAAAATTTATATTTTAACTTTGGGTTTATTGTTAAAATGGAAACCTTTTATATGATTTTACTGCCAGCGGCTTCGCCCGCGTGGTCTTGTATTATACATAAAAAACTTTTGAATCACCGTATCTTTAAAAAAAAGCGTTTCAAAATCCGTTGCGCTGTTTTAAAGATTAAAGCATACATAGGGATATAAGAACAGAGAAAGCGCTTTTGTTTAATATTATGTAGTGATGGATGACACTTCACTGTAACGAGCATTAGCTCTTTGAAGTTTAATAAATAAGTCACAAACGGCTTATTAAATCGAAAAACGGCTTCCCCACACCCCTTTTTTTTGAAAAACCATCCAACAATGTCCCAAACTATGGGTAAGAAGAAAATAAAATATTTTTTTCTAAATCTTACTTTACCACTTTGTTGGCGTAATTAACATGTAGCTAAATTACAACTTTCTAGTACCAATAGTTTAGAGCTAAACTGCGGATGGACTTCCGAAAGACAGATATGGCGAAATTGTAAGGGTTCCTTGTTTACTATGGAGCCCTGAAGAATGAGACTGACGTATTTCACAATATTCGATTTTTGAATTTATATATTTCTATAATATCAATGGTAAATCTGTTATAGGCTAATAAGTAAACCTGTTTGATTTCGCTGTTACTGGTTAAAGTAAAACATAATTGTGCTAATGTCTGGGTGATGTTGTGTTATGGCCCATTACGTCAGTCATTGTTATCTCATAATTTCTTGATCTAGTAGAACAACAAACTGTTAAACGAGGACTACTAATAAAAGTCTATTACGTAGAGAATTTGACTGTATATTGTGTAATTAATACGCGGCCGTGATCGTAATAACTTTATTTTTTTTAATGACAGTTGCAATTTACATATACGTAATTACAAACATAGCTTAGTAACGATACATGCCGCTCATATGGGAATAAGAAATAGCTACATTAAAATCAGCATTCAGATGCTGAGTAATAGAAAACGATCTATAGTTTTAAAATCAATAAGGGTTGGTTGCACTAACTTACTTTAACAATAAAAACATGTTAAAGTACCGGTTAGCCAAGCTTCGTTGGCTCATGTTATAGTTTTACTACGTCAAGAAAGAGAATGGTGCAACGCATTCCGTTGTCAGTCGTAGCGTGACAGATATTGTCACATTTGGCATGAACCTTAACTTTAACTGCTTGGTACTATATGCTTTTATGGTGCAATCCAGCCTACGTAGTTCTAACTAAATTCGGAAACAGATTAAGAAATATACATATTTTATATTTGTGATGTTAAATTGTGTATGAGAATTTCAATAAAGAAGTGATGTGTTTGCGAATGCAGTGCGCTGCTGCCTTCTCAGAGGCAAGTGGCGATGATCAGTGAGATGATCCACTCGGCGTCACTAATCCACGATGACGTCATCGACCAGAGCGACTTCCGGCGTGGAAAACCCTCAGTCAACGTGCTCTGGAACCATAAGAAGGTAAGCTTACAATAGTCATATTGTGTAATTGTTCACAGACTCGTAATGCTATTTTATAGTGTTAAACTCATTATGAACGAAGCAAATCCATTAATGAAACGTCTCTTGCATATATTGGATATTGGACGCGAATTATTTTACACTTCAATTCATGAAAGTAAATTCTCATTCCTGGAAGAAAAAGCTATGTTTTTTGATAGTGTTTTTCACCATGTTTGTACCCCTGCCTTACATATGTGTATAAGTAGTTTTTGAGAAAACTGTTATGATGGACGAACAGATTGACAAATCATCCGAGTAATTCTATAAGATTTCTTTTTTTTCCTCGTCAGGTGCCGGACTCTAAGTTAAGAAACCAATTTGAAAATTCTTTTTATTATAGACAATATGTGCTTGTGTGTTAGAATATAATGAAAATTAATTTTACGTACAGGATTTTCCCAATTTCAATGATTTGAATACAACCGCAACAAGAATATACATATCCGAATTTTTGTTTTTATGTCACTGTAATAGTTAATGTTACTTAATAATTATATTACCTTAATAGTTTTCTTCCCTAAAAATCGGGCCAATCGGACATAACAATGAAATATAAATATTAGTCGGTAATATTCTCTTAGCGCACTCCTACGTTAATGCAAAAATAAAACATATGACAATTTTATGGTTGCTACTATTCTTCATCAGTCATGAGTGGAATACTAATGAACTGTACTCCAATTGCTCCTCATATCTGAAGAATAACTGACAGTACTTTATATGGACCGATACTCATTCCTTTGTATTTAAACAACGTGCAGTTTTCTGTATGAAGACATGAAGTTATTTTTTATTTGTAGAAGAGTGAATCATTGTTTTTATTTGTATTATTCAACTAATAAATTAAAATCTTAAAATATTAACTACTATATTTAGAACTTCAGTTGCCTTTTAAATGCCAGTTCTGTGGTGGCCATCTTTAAACCTAGGTCTCAATTCTGACCTGGGAAATGGAGAGAAAAATACTATCCTGGTTACTTCGGATTTCCTTTCCAATAGTTATTATAGCTATCTAACTTATGTTATATTTTGTGATATATGTTTAATAATGTAAATACGAGGAGTTCGATAGCACAATGGTTAGCCCGTTCGGTTTGAGATGTTGAAATAAAGCAACTTTCACAAAGGCCGTTTATAGAATTGATGACAATATTTTACAATATCAACTCAGTGCTTCGGAAGGCACGTTAAACCATTGATCCCTGTTGCATCTGCTGTCGTAAACACCCACCAATCCGCACCGGGCTCACGTGGTCTGCCATGTTCAGATCTCCCTATTCGATTCTATTCATAGGAAACGCATGTGCCCCAGTAGTGGCAACATTAATAGGCTGGTAATGATGAATGTAGATAAAAGTCAACCAGCGACAATTCTTGACTTCTTTGACTTTATTTCATAATAGAGATGACACTGATTTGCGATTTTAATCTTATTCACAATGGCTTTACTCTTAAGTGACTAAAAATACGAGTTTTCATTTTATTCTACGCTTATGTTGCTAGCCTTGTTATGTAATAAGTGCTTACGAAAGTTTTCTTTACTGTTTTAGAGAGGTTTCGGTATAAACAATAGTTATGTTTACAGTATAATTGTAAAACTATTTCAAGGCCATTTATCAAACTTTTAACCCGGATTAGAATAATTATAGGTTTGATTCACTCGGAAATTTCGGTCGTTCGTGCCTCGAATAAATAATTGATATTTTTGGCGTGACACCGTTTCATGTTTACATGCTTTGACAAAGGACATGCTTCCTTTATTTTAATATCGGACATTCTGCTTTGTTCTCAGTTCTTCTCATCATAATTCTTCCGATGAATAAAGAAATGTTAATAGTTATAAACAACTTTTGAATTAAGAATAAAAAATTTAACGGGAATAAAGTGAGTAAAGTGTTAAGAATGATAATGGTTGTTATCTGTTACAATAAGTAACTGAAATATTCCACACAGATCCCGTATTTAAAATCAAAGGTGTGGGAGTCTACATACTTACCTAGTTACACTAACCGCGCATAGAAACAACTACACTGGAATTACCCGAATATTTCATTAGTATTCATTGGATGTCACTTATATCGCTTGCTGAATGGAAAGTGCTTATAAAATGACATAAAAAGGGATCATTCTAATGTCTATATTATTTTTCGTCTGTTGAAGATCATCTTGTAAATATGAATGAACTGGTCACCGAGTAACTATTCAAATGCTTTATAGAAGATTAATGAAACAACTTTTAAAGGGGAAGATTAATGAAACACGGAACCTGTAAAGGATCCGAAACGTCAATAAAACTAAATACAAATGCAATGATACCGTTTAAAAGTTGATTCATTTATGGATAGTTGCGCGTGAAAATATAAAAAATCATTGTGCTCTATAGAATTAACAAATAATAGATAAAACAATTGTTGCATTTATAATGACAAAGCAATGGTACCTTTTTTTTGTAATAATGAGACTTGCGACCGCGACGGCTATGAAAAATGTAGGTTAAGATCACGCCATTCAACTTGCGGTTCATTGAAACTTGCTCGCTATGGAGTAGAATACGTCGTCAGCTCTATACAATATCTAGGAGGTTATCACTTTCTTTCAATTAATGCTTAATTTTGTTTTTGTTTTCCATCATCGTCTATAGAAATCTAAACAAAGCAGAATTATAATCGATGAATTTATCATAATTTTAGCCAACATCGATTAATTATTTAAACCTTAAGGGTAATGTACTCATTTTTTGTACAAATATCAGATTTCGTAAAGCTTTGCTGGCAGTTTTCAATTTCGCTTTTATCTTCCATAGAAAGCTATTTTTTACGATGACCTCCTTGTCCGAAGCACTTTTACTTGTTTGAAAAGGCAGATGTGATTTGTGAATATAACCGATGTTTGTACTGTCTACAGATTTCATTGGTTGACTGTGTATGTTATATACTAATATATATTTCTACAATAGAAATCGTCTCATTTATTGTCGATTTAATATTCAATTTCAGTGTTCGTTGAAATAATATATGAAATCTATAATGAATTATGTCAATATTTGCGTTCTCTATGATTTTCTCTAAAGATGACATTGAAACGAGAGATAGCGCATCAAATGGGTTATCGAGTCAGGCGCAGGTTGTTGCCCCAACACAAGAAAGAGTGAATACAATCTGTGGTAAGTAGTGCGCGTCGTCACTGCTTCACGTTGGCAGGGTAACCTTACCACGTATCGTAAGCTTCCATTAGCAACGTTTGCTTTCCTTTCTCTCGCTCTTTATACAAGTGAGACGAAGATACGCCGCAGCGTTTCTGTTTACGATGTGCGGCTGTGGAGAGTGCCGGCGAGTCTGAGGCGCGCCTCACATCACAAGAGGCCGAAAGCTGGACGACCCTAAGTGAAAGTGTACCTTCTCACCCAATGATTATTATATCTGCAAGTTTTTTGTATTTAATGAGATCGTGTTACGTCTCCTGTTTGATTACTAATTTCTTCTAACAGTTAACGTTTCAATATTAAAAATATTTTTTAAAGTTACTAAAATGTTTAGTATAGTCTTGAAAATCAAGTAGTTAAGTAAACTTTAAGTCACTTAAATGATGAGCGCCATTCAAGTTCAGTTAGTCAAGTAAACAGAAGCCATGGATAACGTTCGAAACACGATCGTCATATTGTGTAATATATCTCATATGCGTATATATTTACTAAATATATTATGCCCATTAGTTTGGTCAAGGCGATTTTCGCAAGCATTGTCAGTTGTCACAACACGTTGTTCGTAAGCTTTCGTATTTAGATGTTTCATTGATTATTATTAATTACAGTTAACATATCCGCAACAAAATTTTGACTAAAAACGTAAAGTACAAAATAGACTGTTGTTCAAGGCTTATTTAAAATCTTAAAATGAGACCAAAATTCATATTACTCTATTGAATCATAATAGTCTATAATGATTCTGCAGTAGCATTGTTTTATTACCTTAATAATGCTACAAGTAAGCCAATCGCGTTTTATTCGTCCTTCACAAATAAAATACTTACTGCGATAACATTTTTCCGGCGTGTCGGCGGTGGCGTTGTCTTTTGTCTTTAAATCGTATTTTGAATTAATTATAGTTGTGAACGTATGATATTCGTTTCACTAAAATCGACGAGTAGACTTCTTTCAAATGAGTTGTGCAATTTGAAACCAGCTGACCTCTGTTTGAGACAAAATTATCAAAGGTTTTTGTAGGTAATGCAGACATAGTGTTACTCTCAAGCAACATTCGTATTAAGATAGAATATGAGATTTAATCTTATACACTATTGCTCTTAGTTTGCTATGAAAAAAGAGCTTTTAATAACTTTAGAAATCTTTATAAATCTACTGATATATGTATCTATAAAATAATATTTGTCATCATTAATTTTAATATATTTCATAAAAAGGAGGACTTATATTAATTACAACTTACTAAAGCTACAATTTAAAAAAAATAGAAAGAATAGTTTTTACTCATGATGTATAGAAAAATCTATAAGAATACTGAAATTTATAAATTTTGTATTTGTAAGAAACCCGTACTGTAGGAGTGACTAGCGCATAGTCGGTTTTATTTAAATACACATCACACCGTAAGCTATAAAATCGTTCTAATATTTATTTCTTGAAGGAGTTATTTTGGTAATTGAATGTGCCTCCTACATAGTAATTTGTTTTTTTTCCTATTGTTGAGACTTGTGTCTTTTTCAGTTGTGTGTTCATGGAAATAAGATAATTTACTAAGTTTTGAGGAATCCGCCTAGGTATTGTTTGAAAATCTCACGGTTCATGACCTTGACGTTTGTCTGTTCATATACATCGTTATTAGTATAAGGTAAGGTACATATGTAGATCGTCTCACTGCGACATAACCCTTATCTTGTACAAATATTTTTAAGGAAATAAATATTTTGTCTAAAGATGCTGTGATACCTTTTCCGCTCTA